GGGCCCAGGCGTGACGACGGGCCCCTACGCGTCAAATACAAGGACGAAGACGGGGATCTGGTGTCGTTGGGGTCTACGGAGGACGTGCAGATGGCGTTCGAGTCGTTCCGGCCTGGCAACCAGGTCACGCTCTACGTACAATGAGTACGTCTCATCCCGGATCACCGCCTCGCCCTCCACGCCCTGCGTCCACACCGACCACATCACCGCCCTTCCACTCACACTCATATGGCCTCTTCCGCTGCTGCTCATGCCCTGTGCCCGCTCCGTCTGTAGCGCATACTCATCCCATCATCACTATCCTGACATCCGGCATTATCTTTATATCTGGGGACCTTCGTCATCATATGCACACATTCCTTTCTGTTTCTGTCTCATGACCTGTACGATCATTTCGTCTCTGGCGTCTTCGTTCGTGTTCTCTTACATTACTGCATTCCGATGTCGTGCACGCGTACATTGTTATTCGACCGCGCTCTGCTGTCGCCTCCACATCTCGTCTTGTCTGGTCTCCGTGCCTGGACGCGTCCTCGTCCGTGGCTGAGGCAACCGTCCACCGCCGCTCCTTTCGCTTCCTGATTTCCTCCGCTGGTCCCCACGCCACCACATGCCGGGTCTCCGCCCTCTACCCCCTCCCACTGCGCCCTCCCCTCCACCCGCCCTCCTCTCTCTGCGACGTGCGTCTTGAATGTCCCCCGTTGCCGTCAACCACCGAATGTCACGTCCCCCACCACTGTCCGAAATGTCAACGTCAATGTCAACGTCAACGTCACCCTTGAACGTCCCCTCGACGCCCTCGTACCACTATCTCTGCCATCTAGTCATCGCGTGGTTGGTCTCCTGCATCGCAAATGTTGTGGAGCGTGCACCGCGGACGGGCGGCAGGGATGTGGGATGCCCCTGGCTCGCCGTAGTATCGTGTTGTGCAGGCTACTATGTGTATCATCTACTAGAGTCGATCGTTTGCTTAGGCTGGCCTTCATGGAATATATTATCTTATTCGAATCTTCTCCATCCATTGTTCTGTGTTTGTGCCACGAAGGGTTGGGAAATTGAAGCAACTTGGTAGGAGGAAGTCGTCAATGTCGAGCACTGACGGCTTTCGCACTCCATGTAACGTCGACCTGTTGATTTTGAGTGGCTCCTACTACGTCGTTCCATGTATCAGTTCTGTATTCATCACTCCAGTATGTAGACTGGGAGCTGTACATTGTTCTCCATGTTGATTGGGCGATGTCGGGCTGGCGTTGAGTATACACATTGAAACTCCGCAAAGGGAAGGCGTGAGAGGCGCCGGAGCCCCCTGAGCACTCCCTCGCCCAAGACCACCGCGGGCAAGACCCATGGCACCAGCACGCTCTTCCGTTAACCGCGCCCGACGCGACCAGACTCAGCATCCTCCGCAACCGCAGAATGTCTCCCCGCCGCTCGACGAACAGAACTCGGAGGATGAACTCTTCTTGGACCCCTTGATGGGCACACCTCTTGCTATCTACGTGGAGAAAGACGTCGAAAACCGGGACGAAATAGTAGAGCTAGTATCGGTATGTCACCCTCGCGCATATTCTATGCTCCGACGCGTCTTTTGGCGAAATACGGACATTGCTCGTCAGCGGGATACGTGCCGTGGTCGGCGACGACGCGCATTGCTTGCTGTCGTGCGGTTTACCACCGTCCGAATGTTTGCTAAGAAATGTCTGTCTCTGGATTACAGAAACATGGCGGGATTGTATCCCCTGGCTACAGTGGTGTCTCATATATCCTAGGTGAGTTGTATTACATGACAACTTTTGGCATATAGGACCGGGGCGGTTGTGTGTTCCGTCCGTGCTCTCAACGTTTTGCTCATACCCGATCCTTTCCCTCCCCATACGCGTTTCCTAGTCGACCCTCACAAGGAATCAGGGCAGAGCCTTTACCGCCAGTATGTTGGGAAGAAGGGCAAATTGGTGCTCAATGCTCAGTGGGTCATCCGGAGTGTGGAGGCCGGAGCGCTACAGACCTATCATACGAATTTCGGCGGATGCAAGGTGACCGGGATGGAGGAGTGAGTCGTCCCATTGACACTCGTAGAGAGACTCTATAACAAGTGATGTGCTCCTTCAGAGTCATTCCGACAGTACACCATCTTCCCCCTCCTCCGCCACAGCAACCCGAGGCGGGACCGTCAATGCAGCACCTCCCCCCACCGACGCATGAGCAGATGATGCAACACCAACTTCAGCCAGAGCATTTCCAGCAACAGCAGGAACCTCCACCGCAGCATCCCCAGCATCAGCAGGTTCCCGCTCATGCGCACGGGCAAGCAATGGGACATCCACCCCCGCTCATGGGCCATCCTGGTCCCATTGTCGCCCACCCTAACAGCTTCGCGTTCGTGTACAGCTCCCCGATGGAAGTTGCGGCTCGAGGGATGCAGCCCCCAACGCCGGGTCCACCCCAGACCTGGCAAGCTGCGAATGGCATTGCGCCGTCGCAGACACACCTTGCCCCTCCTGCGCAAACGCATATTGCACCCCCGCCACAACCGATCCCGGCACCTCCTCCTCCCCAGCCCGAGCATCATATGATGGAGAGGCAACCAGGATATGCTGAGGAACAGGCGGCGTGGAACGGTGCATACCATCCTATGCAGCAGCCTCCGCCGGGGATGGTACAACCACCGCCCGCGCCAGAGTACGCATATAGGGGGTATCGGGATGACCAAGCAGCTGGTTGGGTACCTGCTCCAGACGCGTATTATCATCAGCATGTACGTGCAATAGTACATGCTCGCTCCCTTCTACTGTTGGCTGACGGGTTCTGTCAGTATGAACAGCCCTACTCGGAACCGCCGGATCAGTACATGGAGGAAGCTGGCCCGTCGAATGCACCTCCTGAGCCACCAGTTCCAGCAGCGGTGCCAGTCTCGGCACCGGCACCGCCATCAGTACCTGCGCCTGAGCCCACTTCGAAGGTGATCAGAGGTCGCAAACGTACCAAGCTTCATGTGCGTGGACGTTGGGCAGTGTCGTTGAGTCGCGCTAACCCATCTTCGCCCGCATATAGCCACAACCTGCCCCTCCAGCTTCTACGTTGGTCGCGAATCGACATAATCCTCCTGCGCGATCACCGACGCCTCCAACGCGCGTTATCAAGAGCACATATGGAGGCAACCTGTTCACGGCGGACGATATCGACTACCTCAAGCGGTATATTGATTACTGCCAGGAGCAGGGTTTGGTCTTGAGGTATGACCGCACGAGTGGGCGAGCGTTACGACGAAGCTGACGGTGCGCATATAGCTTGCGTGAGATCTGCGAACGAATAGCGATCAAGGTATGTATACTACCGCGAACTGTGTCGGGTCTTCGTGCTGATCCTCGTGCCTTAGGCACCACATCACACGTATGTCATCCGTCAGAGGCGTGCGCGATGTTCCTCTGACACAGTTCTGATCCAGATTTTACTCTTGGCGTCGATACTGCAACAAGCACAAGATCCGGCTCGGAGGTTACGCTATGGACGTCGGTGATGAAGGGGATGAGGCACAGCCCACCCCTCCACCTGAGCATGAAGCTGGTCCTAGCGAACAGCAGGAGGAAGAACAGGAGACCCCTGCGCCACCCTCCGGGTACGGTCCTGGTGCTGTCACCGCCGCGTATCGAGCTGTGGCAGCGGACGTGGGCCGTGGGCGGTCTCCAACACCTCCTCGCGCCCTCTTTCGAAGTACAACGGGGAAGGGGGTCGCTTTCACAGACGCGGATGTTATCTTCCTCATCCGCTTTCTGGAGTACCGGACGAAACAACAGGAGGGCAAGCTGGACATGGTCTCGTTCTGGAAGGAGGTCGCGGCCAAGGTAGGGTGACGTTCCTACGTTGATGTTCTTTCGCTTATCCCACGCCTCTCCTTGTAGGCTCCACATCACTCGCGTGCGTCGTGGATGAAGTTCTACAGGCGACATAAGCACGAGTTTCATCACACATCGGAAGACGAACCTCTTCCTGCGCCACCCGAGAAGAAGATGCGGTACAGCAAGCAGGATGACATCCTGCTGGCGAAGTTTTTCTACGGCAAGCCTGAGGGCACGTCGGACAAGATCTTCCAGCAGTTCGCTCGACAGGTGGGTTCGCATGTATCATCGTATGATTATGGCAATTGACTCACGTGTGTCTCGTAGCATCCTCACCATCCTTGGAAAGGGTGGCAGGAGCATCATCGAATCCACAAACCCAGCATCGACCATCTCATCCAGCGACTGTCCGTTGGCGAGAACATCGACGGCATTGCCGATTAGTAGTACCCCCTTAAACTTTCCCGGGCCTGTAGCATATACCATGTTGTTGTACTTTGATAAGTCACCGTGACGTCCTTGATTGTGCCAGATCGCGTATCGTCGTATTCGCACAGGGCAACACTTGAACGTACAAATATGTAGGCGGGTGCCCTCCCGCAACTAGCATCCGTTCCTTCCCATACTGAACGCGATCCTCATCGACATGAGCACTACTGGACCTGTCACTCCCGGCCTTGCAACCGCGTTCGTCTCGCCATCCTCATCTCTCCCAAGCCTGGTCTGTCAGCGGACGATTGTCGCAGCTACTGGCTCAACACGCACTCCGAAGTCTTCTCCTCGATAGCCATTGTGAAACGCAACCTGCTGAATTATGAGCAGATGAGTTCGCTTACTTGTGGACTGCTTACGACGGAGTGACTGACACTCGCAATCGTGCACACCGTTGCTAGTCTCACTTCGACGCGAAGTATACCGCGGCTATGTCGGCGATGATCCCGAGATACGAGCCTCCTCCGTTCATGGGCATGGCTGTCTTGAAGCCGAGACCATGGAGAAGATTGCGGAAGTCTTTCACGACCAAGAGTATCATCACCGGATCGTGGTACTGGTGAGGAAATATATTCATATGTCGCAAAGATGTGCTCATTCAATCTGGGAGGTCCTACGACGTCAAAGAACACCGCACTCTACAGCAAATTCGAACATACTCTAAACAAAAAAACATGTCCCTGGCAGGATTCGAGCCTGCGTCCCCACGGCTTGTACTCGAGTAAGAACGGACGTTCGAAACCCGATACCACAACGTGATGATCTAACCACTAATCGACAGGGACCGATGGTATCTCTTGCTGAGAGTCCACTTCTATATGCAGGGCACGCTTTTGCTTCCACGATGAGGAAACGATGTCATTACATATTCGCCAAGTCTGCGCCAAGTCTGCGCAGTGCGAAACCTAGGACATGTCAATGGGCCGCCAAGCGATGTTCGAGGTAGGCGGAAATTTGTCGGCTTCCGAAGCTGCTTCAGCGTCCATCGTTTGCCATTTTCGGAGGGGTCGCACAGCCACGCAGTGCCTCTTACTTATCTCCAGCTCGTCCTCGTCAGTCACCTTGAGCTTGTTTGGAGCTTGTATCGCAGAAGTGGCCACTACCTAAGGTCAAATAAGCCGCAACCGAGGATATGGCAGAAAGCAAGCTAGACTATTTGACGCAGGAGCAAGTGGACCAGGTACGTACATGGGAGCCCGAGGTCCTAATCAGCGCTACCTCCTCAGGCTGGTAACGACCATCTTTCATGCCAGTTTCGAACGGACGGGTTAGCCACAGACACGACTCTGAGGAGTTACTTGGTTGAGTCGGCTTCTACAGGTATTTGAGACTGCCCAACTTTCTAGAACCGGACGAAGTAGAGGCACTCCTCCTCCGCTCTAAACAGTTACTGGATAACTTCAGCATCGAGGAGCATCCCCTTGTAAGTGCCGCCAGTTACCCCCTCTCGTCTGAAAGCTATCCTAATGAAAGTAGACCAAGTTCACCACCGGAGATGACAACCATGTAGGAGATGAGTACTTCCTAACCTCTGGCGACAAGATCCGCTTCTTCCTGGAGGAAGACGCAATCGGTCCGGACGGAAAGCTCAACAGGGAGAAACAGAAGGCCGTGAACAAGATAGGTCATGGTATGGGTCTTTTGTTAACCAGTGACCTGCGAAGTGGACGTCAATGTCTGGCCTCCAGGTCTGCACGAGCAGGACGCCGTCTTCCGGAAGGTCACTCTCGAGAATGAGAAGATGAAGGCTGTGGTACGCGACCTCAAGTTCCACCATGATCCTGTCGGTGAGTCTCCGAGATCCAGACTTTGCAATGAAGCAGTCAACTGAGTAACATGGTCAATATAGCGCTCCAGTCAATGGTTATATGCAAACAACCTCACATAGGAGGCGAAGGTGCGCCCTTCTCCCGTTGCTCGTCACTAAGAGAAGAACCGAGTCCTGACTTACTCACGAAGTACCCGAGCACAACGATTCGTGAGTGTATCATATCCTACTTGCTTGGTTCCCCGAGATCTGGACATAACTGTAACGCCCGATCCTTTGTATCGCAGGACGTTTCTGGTGGGTGTTGTGCTTTGTTCAAGATGCCGACGGCTCATGGTAACGCTCGCATACAGTACACCAACCCTCCCTCTGCCCTCGGTTTCTGGATCCCGCTCGAGAAGTGCACACCCGAGAACGGCGCGCTCTCCTTCCTCCCTGGTTCGCACCTGACTGCGCCCATCACGAAGCGCTTCGTGCGCATGCCCGGTGGAGGCACCGGTTTTGAGCACCTTGTGCCTCCGGAAGAGGCCCCGCCCAACCCACAGGGGAAGTACATCCTTGAGGCTTGCATGCCTGGTGCGTTGCTTGTATTCCAGGTTTCGGATGTACATTGACAGATCATGCCAGGGGACTTGGTGCTCATCCACGGAAGCGTGCTGCACAAATCGGAGAGAAACACCAGCTCTCACACTCGATTCGCGTATACGTTTCACATGATCGAGTCACCTCCACACGCAGAGTACGACGCCAAGAACTGGCTGCAGCCAACGCCGGAGACGCCGTTCCCTCACATTCTGGACACGCCCAACCCCACGGTGGTCCCTGTCGGTGCTTGAATTGTTGGGGTTGGGATGTGGCATGCTGGGAGACGCAGTTTAGTGTATGTCTCGGAAGCTATGCATGTTGTATTATTGTATGCAAGGATGGGTCACTTTCGGCTGGGCTTTAGGTCGGCAAAGCCTGGAGCAACCTGCATCTACAGGACATTCCGAAGCTATGGTGTCTTTAGATCACTTCAACCTTCCCATACGTCGCTATCTTCTCAGGAGTCAAGGCGCCGAGCTCATCGATGAGGGCCGGGAGGAACGTCCCACTGCCCTTGACATCCGCCCGCGCCGCAGCGAGCTCAGATGCTACGGTGATGGCGAGAACCCTGGGAACAGAAGCATCATCAGCACGCGCCCGTTGTCCCGTATTCACAGAAAGTACACGGGAAACGATGCAGGGGATAGAGCACCAGGGAAAGCCGTATAAAGTTGATAAGCAGAGATGGGAAGACGCACCCTCCCACAGCGGCAACGAGCATATCTCCACGCACAAGCTTCGCATCTTCCGCTTCGTCGGGTGACCGCTTGCTACTTTCCGCTGTACTGGCTCCCGCGCAGAAGGCCGCGACAGCCGTGCCGACCATGCAACCTGACCCAGTTATCTCGCCGAGCAGAGGATGGCCGTTAGAAAGCCGAACGACGGTCGTGCCGTCCGATACATAGTCGGTCACCCCGGTCAGCACGATGATGGCACCTGCATTGCGGATTCGATCAGCGGGGTCTGAGGCACATGGTCGTGTGCAAAGCAGACATACGCTCTTTCCTCGCGAGGTTGCGCACAAATGTGGCGGGGTCGGCGAAGCCTTGCCCGACGCTGTCCACACCTTTGGCCTGAACCTGCGCGACAGAGGTCATTGATCAGCGAGGCACCGCAGGAGCCAATCCGGATCCAGACGCCTACTTCATTCGAGTTCGCAAGCGCCGCGAGCTCTCCGGAGTTCCCTTTGATGACAGTTGCCTGCCAGGCGTTCAATAGCGTCGCGGCCGATGCCCGACGATAACCCGTAGCTCCGACGCCGACTGGATCAAAGACGACTGGCTTGCGGTTCTGGTTGTAATTGAAGCCTGTGCATGGTGATTCAGCGGTTGGCAGGGGTATGGAATATATTAGAGCACAGGGCAGTGTCACTCACCAGCGGCAACCATGCCATCGAGGTTCTGGATGGTACCAAAGTTCACAAGCAGACCTCCGGACACTGCTGCAAGGTCTGCCATTTCCTCTGGGGCTGTGGCCATGATGGGGGACGCGCCGAGGGCTATGGTGGCATTGGCAGATTGCGTGGTCACGACATTATTCGTGATCTTCAAGTGGCGGTCACTCTCTGAGAAGACGTGCAAGTCAACGGAGAAAAGCGGCGTACCTGGTGGACAATCGGTGAGTGCTGCTTCACTGCTTCCAAAAGCTCGCCGACACTGTGCTTGATAGCGTCGGGAGCGTAGGAAGGAGGGAATGTCGAGAAGCATATGATGGGGTTCGCCTTGCATGCTTTGATGATCGTAGCGATCCTCTTAGCCGCAGTGTACGGGTCCTTCGAAGCCACGATGTCGCTGACAACAGCAAGCCCATCCAGGCTACGGCCCGACATGGAGACCGACCCATGCAAGCAATGCAGTGCATTGGTCGACTTGATACCGGCTGGGTCTTATGTTGGTTAACGACTCTCCTGCGGATGCCCGGACGTACCGATGGAAACGGCCTTGACATCTGTTCCCTCCAGCGCGTCTAGCAAGGGTCCGATGCCTCTTACACCGACGATTGGACTGGTGAGCTTCTTGGTCTGCGTGCCCCATACCGGGCCCAAACCAACGTAATCGACGCCGTCTTGTACAGCTTTTCGGACATGCTCTACAGTGTTACACGTCATACCGATGATGGCGTTTGGTGGTAGGAGCTTGCGCGCCGTCTCCACTGGCATGTCTGATTGGCCAATATGGACTCCATCTGCCTGGATCGCGAGTGCGATGTCGATACGGTCGTTGATGAGGATAGGGACATTATATTTGCGACATATGTCTTTGGACGCTTGCGCGATTCGCAGAAACTAGGCAGGAAGGTCGGATTAGCACGATCATGAGGAGGAAAGCAGCACTGACTCGCCTCTCCGGTCTCTGCGTGTTTCTCGCGAACCTGGACAAGCGTTACACCCCCTTTGATCGACTGCAGTGTGCGTCAGGAGAAGATCTGCTTCGTACGATAATCAAATGGAAAGTACCTCTTCCAAAGACTCCAGATAATCCTGTAAACCCTAATCAGCATCGCCAGAGAACATAGAGATGAACTGAGAATGACCTTTCCCTCCGGGAGCAGCTCCCTCCCGGTCACAAGATACAGAGAATAATCCACAGTTGGCTTTTGTACACTCATCGTGGTTCGCCTGGAATCCCGGACGTTATTGGCCTCTGGCAATGGCAGAATTCGAGAAGAAAAGTGCTGCGGGAGACCAAACTCAACCCGACTCGACCCGCACCCCAGTTTCAAAGGGCCAATCACGTCATCGAATCGGTTTCCCTTGGCCCTCTCGTTTAAGTTGGACTCAAGCAAAGATCGCCATGAGACGGGTGCTATTCAACGGATATTGTACACGCAGACATCTTTCAGTCACTCGAGGTGACAGAAGATTCGAGGAAGGTGGGAGAGGTTCGTCGTGAGCATGTCCATAAGTAGATCTAACTGACTCCGAACATGGCTCATAGGCGCTCGTGGCCAGTGCTGCTTGCGCTGTACTCTGTACTGCGACCTCCCCGGCCCCCCTCCCATCAAATACGGTCATACGGCAGCCCCTAACGCGATACGTCTTTGCCTTGAATTACTTCACAACGATGTCACGCCCGGCATTACTTACCGACACATAACGGCGCGGATTGATGCCAGGGTGGACGACGTCGTTGCTCATGGTGAGGTAAGTATGGACGTACTATAAGCGATGATCTGTGATATTCAAGGCTGAATGAGCAGGTGTGTAACTACGCTGGGTTTCTCTTGGGGCGCCACAGTATGCGATACAGCTGAACGCAGAATCATGCTCCAGGTGGAAGGCCCGTACCGATGAATGGCCTCGAATAGCGCACTTTCTGCATGCCAGCATGACTCGCAGGAAAATTGAGTTATCGGAGTTACCTCGAGACGAGCATGCGGCTAGAGCCTATTATGGCGGCGTACTATTGCTCAACGGAATCGGCAGAAGCCACG